CTAAAGATGTTGTTGATGAGACTTTGTAGAAAGCAGCTGGTCTGAGTGATGTGATCAGAGTGCAGTAGATAATGTCTGACAGCAGTTTGAAGAGGAAATGGATTCGGCTCTGTTCTTCACTCATCACCTACCTGACAGCTGACACCTCACACCTGTTTCTCACCTGCAGGTCAGACACACACAGAGGATGGAGTCAGTAGAGGACGTTCTGCACTGGTAGCTTCTGTTTTGTTATTTCTTCTTGTGTTCGTCGTTGTTCTTGCTACACTGTCAAAGAAGAATTTTTCCAACCATCTTCCTTCTGATGAAACAGCGGACAGCTCTTCTGATACCAGTGTCACAAGAGTGATAAAACATCAGCCTCACAAAACCTAAAGTCTTACATGGACCAGTACTGATGTAGGCTATTTTAACCTCTGATGTTCCTGCTGTTTATGTTGTGCTGTTTATAGATCTGACTGCATGTTAACTGCAGTTTGATGCATTTGCCGATTAGTTGACTTTGTTCTTTTAAATGTCAGGACAAATTTCTCCACAGATCATCAAACATTCACACAGTGAAGGAGGAACTTTACATTTTTCACACTCCTTCTGACCCCTACTGTGTGGATCATTCCCTTTCTGTTATGTCTCCTCCAGCACAGTCTGAATCAGGAAGCTGCTTTTTGCACAGAACCAGGTCTCACAGCTTCAAAAGTCAAACGATATTTTTTAAAAAGTTCCTTTTTGTTCCTGAAATTAAGAGCATTTCTTTAACTCAAAACACAAAACATAAAGGGTTAAGATAACACAAAGTTTTCGTGTTACAGGGTTAGTGTTATTTTCACGTCTTTTAGCCTCAAACCATACAGACAATTGAGTTACTTTCACTATCAAAGACAATATGATGATTAAACAACGGCAACATTTGTAACATGCAACATAATTTCTGTGGGTTTCCTCTGTACCCTCTGATGGTAGTGAAGACCTGACACATGTCAGAGTGACTCATTGTCTGTGAAATACATACTCATGGCTAAAGAGACACTTTGACCCTGAAAAAACTTTCCTTTTTTGCCTATAAACAAAATGACCTAGGTCACACCTAACAAACAGTCTGTGTGGACAAACCCACACTGAAAGTTTTCACTGCCTATTTTTTATTGTTATTATTATTATTTTAATATTTGTGACATGATAAGAGATAAGAGAGCAACCATGCATGCTTACTCAATCTTTCCACTCACACAGTTACGTTATTGTTACTTATTTATTATTACTTACCCAAACATTATTTGGAGTAAAACAACTCACGTGTCACAGGAGCTTGTTACAGCTCCATGTTTGATTTGACAGTTTTACACAACATTTTTGCTCCGATCTAGCGATGCAGGAGATCGTGGCTCAAGAGTTGGCAGTTCGTCTTGTAATCGGAAGGTTGCCGGTTC